TTAAAATGAAGAAAAATGACTACACTAAGAATTCTAGCACTTCTTTAGCTGTAATTAATAACATCGTTAGTTCCCAGCAACGGCGCCAAAATTTGATCACGCCCAACTATGCCTTATAAAAAGGACTAAGCGGTCGTTGCAAATATATTCCGGTTAACAAGTTCGGAGTCGAATCCCACAGGGAATTAACCTATTAAGCATAGCTACTAGACTCGCACAAATTCACGCAATCAATATCCAGAAATATTTAAATAACAAATTAGATGTTTACTAACTAAATATCACGTAATGAATTTGCAGTAATTAATAACTAACTACGAACATGTTGTAGACAAGAATTGGAATGATCTAAGGTTCTAATTTCTCCTATTATCGGAATCCTTTCCGCTACGTTTCCTATACATTTGCCTAAGTTTTCTCTACCGATCATGAGCTCTCTGAGTGTCGTAATTCTCTCCCGAGTAACTACCACAATTTACTAGATATATTCTTCCTAATTACACTAGCTAGCACTAAGTTACGGCTCACTCGGATCGCACCAAGGTTTCGTTATTCCTAATCACACCTTTAAACCCTCCGTATTGATCCATCATATATGTTAGGAGTGATGTTGTTCAACAACTACCTAAATATGCACTCTCTTCTGAGTAATACATACTAAATAGGCACAGTCGATTGAGTGCTCTTCAACCAACCACAATAATAAAGTAGTTGAACAAATAGAGAAAATACTACGGCAAATCTATATTAACGTAACAGAAAAATCATCCTCCAATAGTTTTCATCAAAACCCTAAATTACGAATTTAGCTACTCATACTCATAGTAACAATATCCCAAGTATTTTGCATAAATAAATTACAAAGTAAAGATGAAAGAATGTAGAAATCGATGATTCTATCTCCCAACTGGTGTTCCACGAGCTATTCTTGCCTCCTGTTGTCCAAAAACTCCTTCAAAAGTGGTGTTTAATGTCTATTTATACGTGTAGGAAAAGACCTAAACGACATAGCCCTAGTCCTAGTCAAACAGGGAGACGAAATAAGCCTTCAAAATCCGGATCAGGCTCGCCTCAGACCACGCCTCGCGAGGCTCCACGCGAGATGAACCTCGCCTAACACCGTGCGGCGCCAGCTCCCACGCGAGCTCAAGCTCGCCTCACCCTTCGCGACGCCTGCTCTTACGCGAGCTCAGAGGCTCACGTCTCCAGCTTCCACGCGAGATCAAAGGGTCGCCTCTTCATCGTTTCACTGCTTAATGCATTCTTTCTTCTTTCCACAGTTTTCGAGCACACTTTATTCTTTAAATCTTCCTTTTGCTCTAATTTCATCTCCAATTCACCTACGCATAAAATAGACTCCATTACGCGCAAATAAAGTGTAGTTTAACATTAAAGCACATAAAATGCAAGATAATTAATGTACTAAAATATGGAATTATAGCCACACATTAGACTCACATATATATACACACATAATTTCCATTGAAAAATACAAATCACATGCTTTATGGTAAATATTTAAAAAAACATGTAACTCATTTATGAAATTCAATTCTAAATTGAATTCTACAACATAGTCATACTTTTAAATTTAGTCATACTTTTAAAATAAAAACATATAACTTTTATGGAATTCAATTCTAAATTGAATTCTACAACTTAGTCAACATTTTAAAATANGACAACATGGAGCTTAAACTCATTACCAAGAGTTGGCAGATTCCATCTTGATCAATCACTAATTTTACAAGTATTTAATCGTACCCAATATCCTTTCAACTATCTCCCTAGGGATGGTGTCTAGTATCAAAGCACAATAAATAACTTGTCAATTACTATGATGATATCAGGTCAAAGGAAACTCTTACATTACATTCTTCAAGAGAATATCATATTGACAGTTTTTGGTAATTCTAACCATTAGGAATTATCTAATGAATCGGTTCAATGATCATATCTCTATATGCATCATCTATTTATGTTATTTAGTTAATGAGATCAACTAAACTTTATCCCATAAAGACTATCACATAAATATTGATCTAACCGGATTAATAATCCTACGATCAAGAACAAAATTTAGGTTAAATTGTAAGAGACTTTACTCTCATTATCATGACTCCCTCATGATGATAAATCTCAAAATATAATCAAGGACCTTATTAAATTAATCAAGCAATTAATAATAATTATGATAAATGAATATCAAATGCCATATATTTTTATATCAAATAACATTCACAAAAATATGTTCAAATCATCAAATATGAGATCAAATCTAGGGCATGTAAAAAATTTATTTATTTTTTAGAGCATAAAGAAGAGGCCGAATATATTACCTGTTACGTTGTCATTTATTTATGCCTAAAGAGGAACCTAAGAACTTATTTATTGGACGATCACAGCTAAACAGTCCAGTAAACTATATATAGCTCAACAAAGTGGATAGGTATGTGTACCAAGAAATACAACTTGTCAAGATTTGTTTACATAATTAGCAACTTTATAACACACACTTTTCAGCCAAGGCAATGAGGAAGGCTTTCTTCACTTTTATTTGCTTGGTTTGTCTGATTCTCAGCGCAATTGGTATTTCTCTCCTCTGTTCCTCTCCCATTTTGAAATAGAAATCCCAATAAAGTACATGGCCCAAAGTAATCAAGTAGATAAGATGATAATCAATCTAGTATCTGGTTATACATTTCTAGTATCTTTTTTTGGGAAACTGTAACAAGGGTAATCAACCAAATAGAATACTAGCAAACTTACTTGGTATCCATAACAAAGATTTCGCGTCATTTGCTACTGTTAGGGTCCAGCATACTTAACGGAGCCACAGTTCACCACAACGGCAATTATGTCTGTTTAACATTTATTGTATGTGTTTATAATTTAAATCAATATGCACAGTCCCAAAATGTAAGAATAAAAACAAATTTAGATGTCACAAGTAACTATGTGTAAAATAAGGGTTACCAAATTCTGTATTATGCTGTTGATAGTGAAGATCTGAAAAAGGTACAGTATTCAACTTTGTCGGAGGAGGAAGCGGTGGGTCTTCTATATTGTCCTCTTTCACCTCTTCGACAATGGTAAATCTATCGATAACCCATTCGAAATGGTTGATAGGTACTCCGTAGGGTAAAGGGACCCTCACTTTTGCAGTAGATATCAAGTAAGTACAGAACGGGGTGAACTTGTCGGCATACTTTTCTATGTCTTCCACGTATAAAATAACGGCGACATACAAATACAGAGTATTGAAACATTAAGATAGTCAACAAGTACAGTATGAGCAGCCTTAAACTCATCAAACACAAGTGATAACTAATATGTACAGAAATTGTAATTTGTAGAGCGCTGGAAAAAAGGGGCCCGTGGAAAGTTTGTCTCTAGATTGTGTGAACCAATTCGAAAGCGGAATTTTATTTTTGTTGCAAATGAATAAGACATGCATACAAGATTATTTTTTTTGGGTGTTTTACTGATTGAATATGATCTTGCATTCACTTATATGATGTACTTGTATATATGTACCTTCATTTTAGCTTACAGCATTCTAAACTTTGGTTCTCGAAGTGCAAATGGAAAATATTAGGAGCAAGATAGAAAGTATTAGGACATGAAACGTAGCTTTTGGTTGTTTTATCAATTTGGTTAAAGGGGATCGTCGGCTTAGCCACTATTTTTATTGTTAATTATAAGCTCTTAACTGCTAGAGGTAATGACAATCTTTATCTTTGCGATGTTTCTGGACTGTAGCGACAAATTTTTCTTAAGCATTTTATTAGTGGATCAACCTTTAATCTTGATGAGTTGAAACTTTATCTCCATATCAATTTTTGACCTCAAATTCGCCTTATGTATTATAGCTTTTCTACCTACTTGTCAATGTGCCAAAACTTTTTTGAATATATCAAATGAAGATACTGTTCTCAAGAAGATATACGAAGTAGAAGATAGCATAATCCGACATACTTCAATTCTTAGTTTCCGATACTGAAAATGCATAGTTTAGTACTCGAAACATCTACAGCAAGTAGTAAACAAAGTTAACCTCAAAGGACCTCAATTACACTCGGGGGCGGAGCCAGCCTTTTGGCTACGGATTCGGCCGAACTCAGTAACTTTGATCCAAACCTTATATTTGTCTTAAGAAATAATTAAATATGCACAAATTATTAAGTTAGAAACCAGTAACTTAAAAGAACTTGAATCCTCAACCCATAAATTTCAAATCCTAGTTCCGCCTCTTGGGTGCCTTGAATAGCACTAATATTATCAATCGGTTACTACCTAAAAGCTGCAACTTTAACTCGTCAAAGGTTTTAAAGACCCAAAAAAAGGAGCCCACTACTCAAATAAATCAGCTCCAAATTTACCAGGATAAATAATGAGTGAATACGAATTATTATCAGCCATAGAGCTGCAACTTTAACTTGGTAGGATTTAAAGACAAACGAAATGAATACTCCTACTTAAAATATTTCAGCCTAAACTTAGCAGAATGACTATGAAATGACACTCCTGTATCACGTAATGTTATCAACCATTTACTTACAAACTCCAGCTTTAACTCAACAACGTTTAAAGACAAAACAGAATGAAGACCAGTAATGGTTGATAACAATTAACACTATAGATCAAGAATATGCAAACGTCAATGTTAGATTCTAGCTAGCTAACGAGAGAAGTAGAGAAATGAAGAGGAAGAAAAGTGCAATCTGTATTGTCTAAGAGAGAGGTCGTTCAATCCAATGTCTTATAGCGCTAATGTGCACTAACCAATTGACAGCACATAGCCACCTGTCAAATAACCCAACTAACTACTTAACTAATATTGTAACTAATTCAAAGACCCCTTATACTTATATTGTGTACACTTTAATACCCTATATCCCAAGACTCCCCCTCAGGCTGGAGAGTGAAATACATTGAACACTCCTAGCTTGGAGAGAAGGAAACAGTGCTGAGCAACACCAAGTCCTTTTGTCATGATGTCAGCCAACTGAAGCTTTGTTGAAACATGATGAGGTGCGAGCAGTCCATTTTTTTATTTTCTCCCGAACAAAGTGGCAATCTATCTCGATATGTTTTGTTCTTTCATGAAAGATAGGATTTGATGCAATTTGGAGAGTAGCTTTGCTATCACAATAAAGATAAACTGGTTGATTCAATGCAACATTCAATTCTTGTAATAGGCCAACTATCCAAGTAACCTCAGCTGCTACTGCTGCAAGACTTCTATATTCAGCTTCAGTTGAGCTACGACTTATAGTTTGCTGCTTCTTGGACTTCCAAGATAGCAAAGAGTCCCCCGGTTTTATAACGTATCCAGTGATCGACCTACGTGTATTTGGGTATGCTGCCCAATCAGAATCACAGTAGGCAAAGAGATGAGAGATAGGACCTCTTTTGAGAAAGACACCTAGTCCAGGTGAGCCTTTGATGTATCTCACTACTCTAAGTGCAGCATCCAAGTGATACTGTTTAGGACGTTGCATGAGCTGACTTAACACTTGCACAACAAAGCAAATGTCAGGTCGTGTGATGGTCAAATAAAGCAATTACCCACTAGCCTTTGGTAACATGTTATATCTTGTAATTATTCATCTCTATTGTGTCCTACATGTTTGTCATACTATGTGGTAGTCAGTTTCTGATTTAGCTCAATAGGAGTAGAAGCAGGTTTTGCTGCAGCTAGCCCTGTGGTGGAAATCAACTCTAGTGCATATTTTCTTTGGTTTAACAACAGACCCTTATCTGATCTCATCACTTCTATGCCTAAGAAATATCTGAGTTCCCCCAAATCCTTGAATTTAAATTTGGTGCGCAATGTACTCTTAGCCTCTTCCACAAGGGACATGTTGCTATAAGTGATTAAAAGATCATCAACATACACAAAGATAACAACAATGTCATGTGTTGTTTGCTTAGTAAATAAAGAGTGATCATATGCACTCTGTTGATATTTTGCTCCTACTAAAGTATATGTAAGCTTAATGTTCCATTATCTTGAAGCCTGTTTTAGGCCATAGAGTGATTTCAATAATCTGCAAGTTTTATTCTCCCCTTGGCTTTGGAAACCGTGTGGAAAGACCATGTATACTTCCTCATATAGATCACCTTGCAGGAATGCATTGTTGACATCCATTTGGTAGAGGATCCATCCCTTTGAGGTTGCTATGCTAAGGACAGTTCTCACAGTTACCATTTTGGGAACTGGTGAGAATGTCTCATGATAGTCCAACCCTTCTTGTTGAGTGCATCCTTTTGCGACCAGTCGTGCCTTAAACCTCTCAACCTCTCTATTTGACTTATATTTGATCTTAAATACCCACTTAGAACCAATTGGCTTCTTCCCTTATGGCAAGTCTACCACCTGCCAGGTGTGATTTTTTTCAAGTGCCTTAATCTCCTGTCCATAGCTTCTATCTACCTTGGGTCATATGCAGCTTCCTTAAAAGATTGTGGCTCGGTTAAGACAGAAAAAACACTGAGATATGACTGATATGTAGGATATAGGTTATCATAGGAGATTGCATTAGAAATTGAGTAGAGATTATTAGCGTGTGTCTTAACAGTGGTGATGTAGTCCTTAAGCCAAATGGAAAGTTTTCCTTGTCGACAAGACTTCCTAGTCTCTACTTCTGCAGATGCTAGTTGTGGATGCATCTCCATTGCACCTGCTTCTTCTGTTATTTCTAAGAGAGGTTCCCGAACTTCTGTTGTCTCAGCTGCTTGTTCAAAAATAGAATTTTCATTTATTAGGGCTGCATTCTCATGTTCTCCACCATATACTACATGGTCTATGACTGTTGCATCACTTGTATTTTCCACTTCTGTAGCAGTATTGTCATCAAATGGCAACTGCATGTCCTGGGGTGTAGTTGGAATTACAGTTGCATGTGGTTGCTGCACATCTCCTGCTGCAAATGAATATTGAGAAGTGAAGAAATCCTTTAAACCATTTGAATCTGTAGTACTGTCAAAAATAAAAATCTCCTCTTTGAACAACACATCTTTGCTAATAAATATACTCCCATTCTCTAGATCATATAGCCTATAACCCTTTTGAGTTTCTGAGTATCCAATAAGAACAACATTTCTAGCCTTGACTGTGAATTTATCACCTTTAGGTAGGTTACTTGTATAGTATAAGCAACCAAATACCCTTAAGTGATCTACTTTAACTGGCTTTCCATACAACAACTCATAAGGTGATTTACCTTGCTATACACTGATGGGCAACTTGTTTATCAAGTACACTGTAGTTCTTACACAATCACCCCAGAACCTCCTAGGAACTGAGCTTTGAAACTTTAAGGCTCTTGCAACCTCCAATATATGCATATGCTTTCGTTCAACCACCCCATTTTATTGTGGGGTGTATGGACAACTACTCTGGTGTATAATCCCAAGAGAAGCAAACAAGGTATTGCATTGAGAATTGAAGAACTCAATACCATTATCCGATCTAACAACCTTCACAGCGGTTTCAAACTGAATCTTTATCATTGCAAGGAAGTTCTTTATTACAATAACTACTTCACATTTAGATTGTATTAAGCATACCCAAATAAATCTGCTATAATTATCTACTATTGTAATAAAGTAAAGCTTCTTGTCATATGTAGGTACCTTATGAGGTACCCAAACATCCATGTGTACAAGCTGGAAATAACTATTTGACCCGGTGCTACTAACAAGAAATTGTAATCGACATTGCCTTGCTAAAGGGCACACTTCACAATTGTCCTGCACTCTAGTATGTATCTTATTCTTCAACTCTGAAATATGTTGCATAGACTTTGCTGATGTTGCACAAATGCCATAATCTTGTTTCTCCATTTTCCTTCAGAAAACTTGCTGCTATTATTGGCAAATTCTCTTTTATCAGGTACAATCCATTATTTTCTCTACCAATCCCCATCACCTTGCCATTGTAAAGCCCCTGAAATATATAAAATTCGTGGTAAAAGCCAACTGAGCAACACAACTGTCTAGTGAGTTTTGATACTGATAATAGATTAAATTTAAAGTCTGGCACATATATGACTCCTTCAATAGTTTTATCCCCTAAGACTACTGCATCTCATGTATGTGTTATGTCTGCCTTATTGCCTGTTGGTAACTGTACTCCATCTGTTTTATGATCTGCCCTTTTAAGATAATCTAAAACACTCTTGCAATGTGTTACATGGTGAGTTGCACCTGAGTCCACTATCCAAACATGATCACTAGCAGCTATATTTGTCATTAAAGTGATAATACGTGCAATGTTTGTGGAACAATCATTTGTGGTGGTTTTGTGCAACAAATTCACCAATTGTTTGTATTAGTCTTCAGTAAAGAAATTTCCTTGTGTGGGCAGCATAGGTGCCTGCTTTTCCTCACTGGTGGTTGAATTATTCACATAGGTCCTGCCTCCTAAGTTTTGACCCTTCTTCTTGCTTTTGAAATCTGGTGGATACCCCACTATCTTGTAATAATTTTTCTTGAGGTGTCCTTTATAACCACAATAATCACAAACTAATCCTGGCCTCCTAGGTCTGAATTCATGAATTTTTTCTGCTATCATTGTGAATGGATCCTTTAGTGTGTTTGTGACCCCTAGGGTTCTTTGGCTTTCTTCTTGTGTGACTATTGCGTAGGCTTCATTCACAGTGATTACAAGTCTTTTAGCTAAAACATTACTTCGAATATTACCATAACTTTCATTCAATCCCATGAGAAACTGCAATAGACGTATGTTCTTCAAAAGCTCTACAGAAGGTCTGGTTCTTCACAATCACATGAGGCTAGAGGTGCTATTACATCTAATTCATCCCATAGATCCTTCATCTTAGAATAGTAACTAGTAACCGAGTCAGTTCCCTGTCTCAAAGTCGCAATAGCAGTCCAAATATGATAAATTCTTGTTAGATTTGATCTATCAAATCTCTCCTGAAAATCAGCCCACACCTTCTTTGCATTTGATGCATACACGATGCTAGGCATCAATTCATTAGAAACAGTACTACCAATCCATGAGAGAACAATTGTATTGCATTTCTCCTATTGCTCTGTTAATTCGCCTTTGTACATGCCTTTCACACAAGATCCATCCACAAATCCAAGCTTGCTCTTTCCCCGGAGTGCCAATTTCATCGCCCTGCACCACAGTGCGTAGTTTTCTGGACCTGTGAGCTTGAGCAGAATTAAGACGAGTCCTGGAGCATCTAAAGCTTGCAAAAATAGTGGATGATTATGATCTAGTGAACTGACTTCGTTATCCGCCATGGATGTTAGAAATTGAGCTCAAAATCGTAGAATCCCTTAGCTCTGAACTTTGCCAGAAAACCTTGAATATTGCTGGAAATCGATCGGAATTACAGTCCTTGCGATGACCGCTCTGATACCATGTTAGATTCTAGATAACGAGAGAAACAGAGAAATGAAGAGGAAGAAAAGTTCAATCTGTATTGTCTAAGAGAGAGGTCGTTCAATCCAATGTCTTATAGTGCTAATGTGCACTAACTAATTGACAGCACATAGCCAGCTGTCAAATAAACGAACTAACTACTTAACTGATATTGTAACTAATTCAAAGACCCCTTATACTTCTATTGTGTACACTTTAATACCTTATATCCCAAGAATCAAACAGCTACAATACCATGAATATTTGATGACATTAATAATAATTATTTCTATATTGAAGATCATGAGTCAGTTTTCCAAGTCTAAGCAAGGTAGTAAATAAAATTAACCTCAAAGGATCTCAAATTATCAGGATGAATAATAACTTGAATACGATGTATGATTGCCAAAGGACACTCACGTATTAGCTACTCGTATTATTTTCAACCAACTGCCTAAGAGGTTCCAAGGACAACAATATGGTTTCAATAATCTCTCAGTTATGAAAGTGCAAGTTTAGTACTTAGATGAAACAGATACAATTAATCCTTCAGCAATCAACTTAATATATAAAAATGTACTTGATCAGTTTACACAAGGAAAACAATATGGTTTCAATAATCTCTCAATCGCGGAAGGATGACTATGAAATAACACTCCTACAGTTGATGAAAAGGTCTAAAGTGTTAACTTATTGAATAAAATCAGTCACGAAGAGTCTTTCAACTAAGAGGGCATTTCAAATTAAAAGGAAACATATTTCTATGAGTATCTACTTTCAGAGAGCATCTCAAACATTTAGTTCTTCACATAGCATGTCCGACAGAAACAGTTAAATTTGTAATTACCTAAGTTGATGAATCTCTTTCTTTTCTTTAAATTAAATAATAGTAGGGATTGCAATTATATTTTAACCAGTAGAATAAGAAGTAACACGATAGTTAGAAGATTACTCTTTCGTCTTGGACAATAGCAATCTTTCCATCTTTACTTTGCCTTGGTCGAGGTTTCTCAATAAGTTATACCTTTGATGTCCACTCCTTTGTTCATAGAGTGATCCTCAATGGTTAGTCTGTACTCCATATGTTATGCAGACTCTATA